GACGATTCTTCAATGTCATTCTTTACTTGTACAAAAACTTCTTTTACAAGATGGCTATAATTAAAGAGATGCTTCTTCGTGCTTCACAATGTAAACTAAAGTTTGACGAAAAGTAAATTTGCGAGAAGCAATTTCTCTTGTCCTGTACACGAAAATTACTTCTAAAAGTCCTCATCCGTTACATAAAAATCTTTCTTTCCTTCATATAAATTATATTTATGAGAGTTCGAATGATTTTCTAACATTTGTCAATCTGTAAATTTGTAATAACAATTATAATAATTATTATAATTGCATCCTTTATGGAGGTGTATAGTCTTTTATGGATTGGAGTGGTTAATATAATTTAGTTAATTGTTATTATTATTATTATGGGATAGAACATACTCAAGTGTCTAGGATAAAGAAAGGAAGAGAGTGAGAGGATGAGAGAGAAGATGAGACTCGTTTTTACAATTTGTTTCTTAAAGATTCTTAATTTAAAAAATGAAAATTTTCCATTTCCACAATTTAGCTGATTTTTTTAAATTAATTATTGTAAAATTTTAGAATCAATTCATAAATTTATTATCTGTATAATTCCTTTAAAGTATATATAAACTTAAGTTTTACATTTATGAAAATAAATACAATTTAAACTTTATAAAAAAATGTTTTTTCGGTTCTTTCGTAAATATTATTTATATTTGTGTAAAAAAAAAGTTAATTTTTTACCAAGTATTACCAAGAGTATTTCTTCTCAAGAGATTTCTTTATTTCTGAAAACTTCTATCCTATAGTAAATTTCCTCTCTTCTATTGGGAACTCTTTAAAAGAGTTTAAACTTTAAACATTTTTTAGTTTGATCCTCAGGAAATTATTATTCATTTGTCGAAATGGAGATGTGTATACTATTAAACCACAATACTCTGTTATAGGTTTATAAGATTATGAGCTCAATCAAATTGTGACTCTATCTAAGATTTCTTCTCACGAAACAGAAAAAATCTTAGTTAAAAGTTTCTTATAAGTAATTCTAAGAAAGTAAAATTTTAGAAATTAAACAAGAAAATAAATAATTATAATAAGAATTTAATTATTTCGTGAAGATCCGTCCATAAAGAACGAAATCAAAGTGACATATTTTTAGACTCTACTCGTTGAAGTGTATATTTGAAATCCTTTATCCTGTTGTTTTGATGGAATTTCCATAATAATATTCTTTGTAAACAAAGACTATTATTATGGTAATTCCTGTGAAAGTCTGAGCTGATATAAGGTTGATCCATTTAAGAATTATAATTTTATAATCTAGTTTATATATATTGTATTTATATTTCATTATAATAAATGTATAGTTANCAAAGTGTCTGAAGTCAAAAACTGTAAAAGTCTTGGGGGGCATTTTTTGATCGATGCCATACTTTCCCTCTCTTATATATAACAGCCGGGAAAGAAAAAAATATAATATGAATAATATGAATCAGATTATATACTTGAGGGTTCAAAAATTGTTTATAATATTACACATTTAGTGTTGTATAAATTGGTTTAGTTTAGTGAGAACGCAACACTTAAGCGCTCTGCCAAGGAGGAATGCCTCACGAGAGAAGCTTCTACTTGAAACTGGCCCCTATTTAGGTATTAGACAGGTGAAGAAAACTGGCCCTTATTTAAGTGTTTATTTGAAACTGTTTCCAATTTAGGTAGGAGATACGTGAAGGAAACTGGCACTTATTTGGACGTTACAGACGTGAAGAACATCTGGATAACTTCACGTGGCCAACTCGTTGGCGAGGCTCGAATCCATGACCAACTGCCAGTGTTCAATTTATTGCTTTATTCATTGCATATTAAAGTGTATATAAATAGATTTTATTTAATAAATTTATTCTGAAAGATACATTTTAAATATGAATTTTATTTAAAATTTTTTTGGGGAGACGTTCACATGTCGACTCATCGGCATACTTTTATACAGTTTGAAGAAAGTAATTAACAAGAGAATTTAGTAATTGAATACTTTAATTAATCAGGTGTTCCTTTAAAATTCTCTAATATTTTCCTTAAATGTTATATATTACATAACATGAAAAGATTCAAAACTAAAAATTTTATAGTCTATTTTAAATGATTATAAAATTATTTTAAATAAAAGTAACGATTAAATTAAAAAAAACATTAAATATTTTCTAATTATATTTTTAATAAACAATTATTTTAATGTTTAAATTTTAATTTAATATTGGAAACTTATGATCAACTAACGAGAATTTATATATAATTTATTCTGTGACAATATAATTTATTTGTGATAATTTTGATTCTAAACATACGAATACATATGAATATATAATCGAGAAATGGCGAAATAATTTAATAATTGTTATATAATTTATTATCTAATTATAAAGATAGGAAAATTTCTGGTCATAATTCTTTAAACCGTCGTAAAATAATTATTTTTAAGTTTTATATTAATGGAATTTTAATATTGATTTTAGAATTAAAGATAAGGATGTAAATTATATTAATAATTTAAAGAATAATTTAATTGGGGAATAAAGTTGGAAAAAATTAAATTTATTATTTAATTTTTTAATATAATTTGAAATGGGAATTCTTCTGTAGTACCAAAATAAAAAATTCAAGTAATGAAGTCTGTTTTCTAAGTTGGAGTCACTATAATTGATGAGATTAAATTGGTGAAATTTTATAAAAACAATATAAACAACGCTTAATTTACTTGTTTATTGATTTATTTTATATAAATCTTAAAGACGATGTCTCTTAGGAAGGCCTTTAACAAACAGCTACAGTAACAAACAATACAAAATAAAAGACAAATGGCTAAATTAGTGTTGGTACGATACCCGATGCAGTATATTTTTTCTTATTTTATATACAAGAACTCATTAATATCAAGAAAAACTGAATAAATTCTATATGAATATCTTTCAGACAGCGTTAATATGCATTAAAAAACATCAAGGATAATTTCTAGAGAGGCTCCGTTTGCAGGATTTTTAAGTGTGGGGATTTTATAAAATAAACATTTTTTTTAAACATAATTTTATAATATAGATATATAGAATAAAACAATACACTAGACTAAGCAGGAACTCTCCATTTAGAAACAGGAGAGGAGTTTACCCCTTAAGGGAAAAAAATATAAGGAGCTTCAACATAAGGAGGAACAGAAGTTTAATACTGTCCAAATGGAAAGGATAAACCGTTGTTCAGTTTTCTTTAACAGGTTGTGAGAAAATTAACCGCCCAAAACCTCCTGTATACAGCATTGTTTCTAGTACTATAAGAGCAGTAATCCAGCATGCCGGATAGCCGTGGTTAAGTACTCAATCTGTCGTTCTGGAGAATCCAAGATCGAATTAGGAAACCATCCACGAAAAACGTAAGGGATTTTTTGAGGGTGGTCTCTCTCAAATATGTTCTGTCTCTCACTCCTGCCACTCACCATAGGTCTAACCAAACCAACAATGAGCCTGAAAAAGGCTTTTTTTAGTGTCTACAGGAAGGAAAGAGTCCAAAAAATATTAATTTAAAAGACATTAAATATAAAAAATATAATTTATTAATATATTTTAATCGAAAAAATATTCTCTGACATTGCTTGATATTTTTTTATATTCTTAAAAATATATCAACAATACTCTTCTATCCATAATATAAACACTGTAAATTTCCAATATAATTTTTAATTGGTTATTTCTTTATAATCGATACTAAATTTATTAAATTGTATAAATTGAAGTAATATAAATTCTTGGCATTTTTTTTTCTTAAATCTAGAAAAATCTTAGCAATTGGCAAAGTTCAATTGAAGAAAATGAAAGTTTGTTGTCGTTCCTGATCACATCCCCTTTATTAAATGGAATCGTGTCTTATAAAGTCAAGATATAAATTCTCATAAACTTACCTTCCTTACTATAAGAAAAAAATGTTCTGTTATTGTTTCCACTTCTTTACTCTTAACATCTAATGATTTATCTGATACTGTGCTCACAAACTTCGTTCATATCTCACTCAATTATTACTTAATATCTATTTTTGAAACCATAAATGCATATTTAAACATATATTATTTTCTTCTAAGCTATAGTTATTTTAATAAACTTAATAATCCTTCAGGAATTGTAATTACAATAATCTTTAAGTTGAATCTTCTAGTATAATAATCAATTCTTATCGAGAATTATATGAATAAAAACTAATTTATAATTTATAAAATTAATTGTTTAAATCATATTTTAAGATATAATAATTAATAAAAATAAATTTATTTTTATGGATTTTTATCAGTAGACAAATATAAAAAGTAAATTCATAATAAGAAAATTATAAATTTATTGGAATATATTATTTTTATATAATTTATAGTTTAATAATTTAAATTATAATCCTTTAACCTTAATTTTCTAATATTTTTCGTGTCGAATAATTAATTTAACATTGGATAATGAATTTATTTTTGTACATTGGTTCTTTTGAAGTTATAATGAATCCAGAGAAAATTCTTCTTTCATAAATTAAATTGAAAATTAATACTTTTGTATTTTTAGAACAAGAATTATAAATGAAGTATTATGAATTATAAAGCGCAATTATTTTTGTACGTCCTGTCTGAATGTTTATTTAGTTTCTATGTAAATTTAATTAATATAAAATATTCGTTTTTGTAAAATACTATATAATAATAAATTAAAAAGGCATAGAAGTTGGTAATATATACTTATTTCTTAGAAGAGTTGTATGAGTTAATAATGAATTACGTTTATCTAATTTATATTATAACGTATAAAATAAATAAATAACAAAAATATGGAAAATAATTTATTAATTATTTGACTTTCGATGATAAAAAAATGTTGTCAAAACATGAAAAATAAATTAACAACATCGGAATTCTTAATGATTTTAAATAAGATGAGTGGACTGAAAGATTGTGTGACGTCCACAAAAGGTAACAAAGACAGCAGCTTACAATGGTATTTTGGTCTAACCAACAAATGGTATACCAGCACCGCCAGTGCCACCGTGTCCAACGCCACCCTTTCCGGCTCCACCGATGATCTTTCCGAATTTTCCGAAAGAGTCGATGCTGGTACCGAAAGTATGATCGGCACCCTCTCCGTGTCCGGAGTGTCCGTATCCTCCGTATCCACCGAGAGCTCCCGCTCCTCCGTATCCCAATCCGGCTTCTCCTCCATAGGCACCACCGTGTTTGGCAGCTCCAGCGGCACCAAAACCGAGGCCGTATCCTCCCTTGGCACCACTGCCGTAATCCTGATTAAGGGCGAAGGTCTTCTCTTTGGTGACGGCTGTGGTATGTCCACCGGCGAACTTTCCTCCGAAAGCACCTTCCTTGCCTGCCAAACCGTGGATTCCTGCACCGGCTCCGTATCCACCTCCTGCACCGTGTTTGCCTACTCCGTGGATTCCGTAGCCCTTCAATCCACCGTATCCACCGGCGGCGTGTCCCAAACCACCGTATGCTCCCTTGCCGTATCCGTGACCTCTGAGGGCTCCGAGTCCGTAGCCTCCTGCACCACCAAATCCACCATGTCCGACTCCTCCTAATCCCTGACCTCCGATGAAGGGAATTGCGAGAACGGGTGAAGTATCCAATTCTTCTTCATAATCATCAGCAGACACGGCTACGAAAGCAGCCAACAACAATACCTGGGTACATAAACACTCTGTTTAACACATTGCAACTCATAGAAGGAATCAAACACAACCAAGAATATATAAATGATAGCTTTTTATACTCACCAAACACTTCATATTTCTCTTGGTTTTCGAGGACTGAATGCTTTGTACAATGCCAGACGACGCTTATATAGTACTAGACCTGTTTTTTATTTATGATATATAAAATAGTTTTTTCGATAGAACCAGTGCGATATCTGGTTCGACCATCTGATTGACACTTCGACTTACTAAGGTGAAAGGTCTTGATTGGTCGGTGTGTAGTGTGGTAATCGTAGCGTAACTGGATCAGAGACACCTCACTTTTTACAAAAAAACAGTCAGGAAGAGATTGTAAAAAATTGTTCAACCTCGAATTGCTTAGAAATTACCAGAAGTACTGCCCCACATTTTCTTTAGGGTGTAGATTTCTGTGTCGTTTGATTGAGAACGACCTGGAGGTTTACTTTCACCGACTGACCGATTTTCCTGATTCTTACCTTTCACTTTATTTCTTTATAATTCGTTTATTTGAAAAGTAAGAAGTTTATATTTGTTACAGGTGTATTTACAACACAAAAATTACTTCATTTAACCATTTAAACGCTACGCATTCACAACGTAACTCACTTAAACAACGAGCGATCTAGTGCGTGTTATACAACGAAATTCGCAGAAATTATGATTTTAATCATCATTAACTGTATACGTACAGTTAATGATAATTAAGATTTCTGTTGAATATTACTTTTAAATATTTTATCGAAGGTACAGTACAGGTGTTTTAACTGTTCACGAAACGATAATTTCTCTCCGTTCTAATGAATAATAAAGCAATAAATTGAAGTTAAACATTAAATTTAAATATAACACGAATAATAAAGCGAAGTTTTTTATGTTTATATCGATTTCTCTTTATAAAGATATCGAAACACATCGACTGAAATAACCTAATTTATCTTAAAATAAAAAGGGTCGTTCGATTTTTCCTATCAAACATGGAAAACTAGTTTTCTAGATCTGTCGAATTGCAGTCGTTATTCATTATCCACATGTCATTATAATAAAGAAAGTTTAAGCTTCGTTTGATATATAAACTGCATATGTCACTAGAATATATTCGAGTAGAAAAATCGCATTCTATTTTTATTGCAAATTCAATGAGGCATTCAATTAATGTAACTTTATATATACATACATACATATATATGATGTTTGAATAATAATGCAATAACATTTTGACTCTATAAATCCAAATAAACTTCCTTTCCAATCATAAGGTATAAAATTATATTATATATATATATACATTTCTATTCATCTAACATTCATTCTTTTCTTGCAATCGCAACCCTGAATACTCAAAATGATTTGATATTGAATATTTTATACTTTTTTTTT